GTACTGAGTATAATGTAAGGTAGTACTGAGTATAATGTAAGGTAGTACTGATCATAATGTAAGGTAGTGTTGAGTATAATGTTAGGTAGTACTGAGTATAATGTGAGGTAGTACTGAGTATAATGTAAGGTAGTATCGAATATAATGTAAGGCTGCACATGTACTGAGTATATTGTAAGGTAGTACTGAGTATTATGTAAGGTAGTACTGAGTATAATGTTAGGTAGAACTGAGTATAATGTAAGGTAGAGCTGAGTATAATGTAAGGTAGAACTAAGTATAATGTAAGGTAGTACTGAGTGTAATGTAAGGTAGTACTGAGTATTATGTAAGGTAGTTCTGAGTATAATGTAAGGTAGTACTGAGTATAATATAAGGTAGTACTGAGTGTAATGTAAGGTAGTACTGATCATAATGTAAGGTAGTGTTGAGTATAATGTTAGGTAGTACTGAGTATAATGTGAGGTAGTACTGAGTATAATGTAAGGTAGAATCGAATATAATGTAAGGCTGCACATGTACTGAGTATATTGTAAGGTAGTACTAAGTATAATGTAAGGTAGTACTGAGCATAATGTCAGGCAGTGTTGGGTATAATGTAAGGTAGTACTGAGTATAATGTTAGGTAGAACTGAGTATAATGTAAGGTAGAGCTGAGTATAATGTAAGGTAGATCTAAGTATAATGTAAGGTAGTACTGAGTGTAATGTAAGGTAGTACTGAGTATAATGTAAGGCAGTACTGAGCATAATGTAAGGTAGTGTTGAGTATAATGTTAGGTAGTAGTGAGTATAATGTAAGGTAGTACTGAGTATAATGTAAGGGAGTATTGAGTGTAATGTAAGGCTGTACATGTACTTAATATAATGTAAGGTAGTATTGAGTATAATGTAAAGCTGTAATTGTACTGAGTATAATGTAAGGTAGTACTGAGTATAATATAAGGTAGTACTGAGTGTAATGTAAGGTAGTACTGAGTATAATGTAAGGTAGTATTGAATATAATGTAAGGCTGTACATGTACTGAGTATAATGTAAGGTAGTACTGAATATAATGTAAGGTAGTACTGAGTATAATGTAAGGCAGTACTGAGCATAATGTAAGGCAGTGTTGAGTATAATGTAAGGTAGTACTGAGGGTAATGTAAGGTAGCACTGAGTATAATGTAAGGTAGTACTGAGTATAATATAAGGTAGTACTGAGTGTAATGTAAGGTAGTACTGAGTATTATGTAAGGTAGTTCTGAGTATAATGTAAGGTAGTACTGAGTATTATGTAAGGTAGTACTGAGTATAATGTTAGGTAGAACTGAGTATAATGTAAGGTAGAGCTGAGTATAATGTAAGGTAGAACTAAGTATAATGTAAGGTAGTACTGAGTGTAATGTAAGGTAGTCCTGAGTATTATGTAAGGTAGTACTGAGTATAATGTTAGGTAGTACTGAGTATAATGTAAGGTAGTACTAAGTATAATGTAAGGTAGTACTGAGCATAATGTAAGGTAGTGTTGAGTATAATGTTAGGTAGTACTGAGTATAATGTGAGGTAGTACTGAGTATAATGTAAGGTAGAATCGAATATAATGTAAGGCTGCACATGTACTGAGTATATTGTAAGGTAGTACTGAGTATTATGTAAGGTAGCACTGAGTATTATGTAAGGTAGTACTGAGTGTAATGTAAGGTAGTCCTGAGTATTATGTAAGGTAGTACTGAGTATAATGTAAGGAAGTACTGAGTATAATGTAAGGTAGTACTGAGTATTATGTAAGGTAGTTCTGAGTATAATGTAAGGTAGAACTGAGTGTAATGTTAGGTAGCACTGAGTATAATGTAAGGTAGTACTGAGTATTATGTAAGGTAGCACTGAGTATTATGTAAGGTAGTACTGAGTGTAATGTAAGGTAGTATTGATTATAATGTAAGGTAGTCGAATATAATGTAAGGCTGCACATGTACTGAGTATATTGTAAGGTAGTACTGAGTATTATGTAAGGTAGCACTGAGTATTATGTAAGGTAGTACTGAGTGTAATGTAAGGTAGTACTGAGTGTAATGTAACGTAGTACTGAGTATTATGTAAGGTAGTACTGAGTATAATGTAAGGTAGTGTTGAATATAATGTAAGGTAGTACTGAGTATAATGTAAGGCTGTACATGTACTGAGTATAATGTAAGGTAGTACTGAGTATTATGTAAGGTAGTTCTGAGTATAATGTAAGGTAGAACTGAGTGTAATGTTAGGTAGCACTGAGTATAATGTAAGGTAGTACTGAGTATAATATAAGGTAGTACTGAGTGTAATGTAAGGTAGTACTGAGTGTAATGTAACGTAGTACTGAGTATTATGTAAGGTAGTACTGAGTATAATGTAAGGTAGCATTGAGTATAATGTAAGGTAGTACTGAGTATAATGTAAGGCAGTATTGAGTATAATGTAAGGCTGTACATGTACTGAGTATAATGTAATGCTGTATAATGTAAGGTAGTACTGAGTGTAATGTAAGGTAGTATTGATTATAATGTAAGGTAGTCGAATATAATGTAAGGCTGCACATGTACTGAGTATATTGTAAGGTAGTACTGAGTATTATGTAAGGTAGTTCTGAGTATAATGTAAGGTAGTACTGAGTATAATATAAGGTAGTACTGAGTGTAATGTAAGGTAGTCCTGAGTATTATGTAAGGTAGTACTGAGTATAATGTAAGGTAGTGTTGAGTATAATGTAAGGTAGTACTGAGTATAATATAAGGTAGTACTGAGTGTAATGTAAGGTAGTATTGATTATAATGTAAGGTAGTACTGAGTATAATGTAAGGGAGTATTGAGTGTAATGTAAGGCTGTACATGTACTTAATATAATGTAAGGTAGTATTGAGTATAATGTAAGGAAGTACTGAGTATAATGTAAGGTAGTACTGAGTATAATATAAGGTAGTACTGAGTGTAATGTAAGGTAGTACTGAGTGTAATGTAAGGTAGTACTGATCATAATGTAAGGTAGTACTGAGTATAATGTAAGGCAGTATTGAGTATAATGTAAGGCTGTACATGTACTAAATATAATGTAAGGTAGTATTGAGTATAATGTAAGGTAGTACTGAGTATAATGTAAGGCAGTATTGAGTGTAATGTAAGGCTGTACATGTACTTAATATAATGTAAGGTAGTATTGAGTATAATGTAAGGTAGTACTGAGTATAATGTAAGGAAGTATTGAGTATAATGTAAGGTAGTACTGAGTATAATGTAAGGTAGTACTGAGTATAATGTAAGGTAGTACTGAGTATAATGTAAGGTAGTACTGAGTATAATGTAAGGTAGAACTGAGTATAATGTAAGGTAGTACTGAGTATAATGTAAGGTAGTACTAAGTATAATGTAAGGTAGTACTGAGTATAATGTAAGGTAGTATTGAATATAATGTAAGGCTGTACATGTACTGAGTATAATGTGTGACTTTAGTAGAAATAAGACTTCATGGACCTGGACAGCTACTTGTGTGTTTTACATTAGGACCATCAACAAAGTGGCTTGATAGGTTTTCAAAATGGCCACTGTAATGGTGATCTTGAATTTCCGACTGACACTTCCTTCAATTTTCAATTTTTATATATAACTACAGTGAATTTCACACCCTCCCCACGGACAAACAGGGTATCTGACTGAAAGAAAATTTGTTAGTGTCCTTTAGAAGCCTTGGTGGCCATCTTGACCCCTAAAACTTACAAGTTATTTGACGTTTAGTATACAGTCTATGTATCACTTTCACAAATTATGAACACAGTTTGCCATGGAGGCCATCTTTGATTTACGGAGTGACACGAAATATATGAAAATTTGGTCGGAAAATCTTAAGGAACATTTGTACCAAGTCTGAAATCAATCACTTCAGTCGTAATTGAAAAATAATAAAACAAATAATAACTCTTTTTGGGGACATCATAAGGAACATTTGTACAAAGTTTGAAGTCATTCACTTAAGTGAAGAAGAATTCGAAAATACAAATTATTGATACACAATGGATGACGACAAAGACAATGGCAATAGCTCACATGAGCAATCGTGCAAGCCAATAAGAAGAAGAAACTATGGCTAGATTGTATTATAACACCAGACCAAATTACTGAAATACAGGATTTTTACACATGTATCAGGAGAGAAAAATACAACACAGAAAGACTAAAATTCAAATGTTGAACTTCCAAACTATAGATGGATTCTCTAACCAAATGAGCTACCTGTTTACTCAGGTAGGTTACAGGTCAAGTTCTGCTACAAACCTCATATCTTTTTACTTTAAACAAATGGTGTTCACAGGTACCACTTTACCAGGATGGTAAAATGTAATAATCCAGACTGATATAGATTTGAACCCAGGACCTCTGAACTCTGGATGGATGCCCTAACCGATCACCCTTGTCACAATCTTAACTTACTGTGTACAGCCTGTGATGGCTGGGTCCGCTGGTGTAGTAGTCTCGGTCAGGAGGCTCTTCACAGATTCATTGTTTTCATCAAGCTGTCAAAAAAATGCAATAGATGAAAGTTGAACCATTATAAAGTGACCAACAGCATAATAATTATAAGTATACAGAAGTCACTCGAAGTTAAAGAATATAGAAATTTAAGTTCCTGACTAGAAGACTCTTGTAACATCATTTCCTTCTGACAACTGTCCTTTACTTTAAAGCAGAAACCTATACTACAGAGAATCTTTGCTAACATCACAAATTATGATGATTGTGATCACACTTAGGTTTCAATATGACATGTCCCCGTTTGAGTTTTTTTTCTTTCAATTTTTCATTATAAACTTTATTTTACAACAGTTATGAACAAATTTTCAACATATATAAATCATTCTTGTCGGCCCAGATAAAGCTCACAGTGATCTTCATGTGGGAGGAAACCAGAGTACCCAGAGAAAACCCAGCTATTGAGGCAGGTGACCCTAAAACCATTTCACGCTTGAACGGGGAGTTGAACCCAAGGGGGTCTTGGTAAAAGGCAAGTACCTTATCACTGCCCCAACCAACCACCTTCAATTTCTTCAATATGCAGTACTTAATCAGATATTTCAAAAATTCTGTTTGCAGTTAATATATTCTTTCTTGACAACAAATGTAGCAATGTAGACAAAACAAGAACCTAATCTGTGACAAAATTGACCATCTCTAAGTACATTTACAGCAATATTGTAACTGACCTCTAATTGAATTAGAAATTATAACTTGTAGTTAGAACAAGTGTATGAAGCATGAATGCCCCCTGCTCCATTGCAAATTAGTATCAATGTCTCAATAATTTCTATAAATAGTAATGATGACCTTGGCTATGACCTTGAAACCACCTTGAAATACAAATTCAGCCAAGGTATTCTAATAATTTTTATCTTTCTAAAAAGTTTAATCAAAATCCACAAAGAAATTAAGTTGCTAGAGTTAAGTCACTGAATTGGTAAACAGAAAATATAAACATAGACACTAGAAAACATATTCATCTACCTCATAGTCCAGTCTAGGTCCCTTAGGATCAATCATCTGGGTAATAGTTTTGGCCACAAGCATCCCCAAGCACCGTGTGTCATGGTCAGACATCCCCAAGTGACACTGGACTCCAGGCAACAACAGCTGCAGTAGTTCTATCAATCAATCAAAACACAAATCAGCAATTAATTATATTAAAACAAAAAAACAAAAAGAACTAGAACACTGACAGGTCAGTNAAAATATACATTTTACATGTACTATGATGTGAGTCTTGTTTCCTTCCACCTCCATATTTGCTGGGCTAACAGAAATGTAAATACCGGTGCAATACTCATTTGTTAGCTTTGATTTGTTTTATTTCACCTTATATACCTCCTACATCAAGAGCCAGGGTCAAAGTCAGAGATCCACTTTGTCTTTGACCTTTGGACCCAAATGACCTTGACCATTAACCTAGTGACCCTGAACTTTGGTCAGTTGACTTATTCTTTAATTACGACCAACTTTGCTTCTTGATATCATAACAAATTGTTCATCAGTGAAAAATACAAAACTTGACCTTGACCCTTTGGACCCAGTAACCTGGACCTAAGGTCAGTTGACTCCTAGTTTAATTCTGATCAACTTTGCTTCATCATGTCATAACAAAATGTTTATTTTTAAGAAAATAAGCAAATTTGACCTTGACCTTTGAATCTAATGAACTCGACCTTTGACCTCGACTTTTTACCTCAGTGTGTCCCTTTGTTTGATTCCGAAACAACTTTGCTTCATAATGTCATAGCGAAATGTTCACCAGTGAAAAGCTACAAAATTTGACCTTGACCCCTGACCCGATGACCTTGACCTTTGGTCAGTTGACTCCTTGTTTAATTCTGATCAACTTTGCTTCATCATGTCATAACAAAATGTTTATCAGTGAAAAGATGCAAATTTGACCTTGACCTTTGAATATTTTGACCTCGACTTTTAAGCTCAGTGTGTCTCTTTGTTTAATTCCGAACAACTTTGCCTCATAATGTCATAGCTCATAGCGAAATGTTCACCAGTGAAAAGCTACAAAATTTGACCTTGACCCCTGACCCAATGACCTTGACCTTTGGTCAGTTGACTCCTTGTTTAATTCTGATCAACTTTGCTTCATGATGTCATAACAAAATGTTCATCAGTGAAAAGATGTAAATTTTGACCTTGACCTTTGAACCTAATGACCTTGACCTTTGACCTTGATTTTTTACCTCAATGTGTATTTTTGTGAACTGAACATCTTGACCAAGTTTCATGTACATCGGTCAATAAATACCCAAGTTATCAGCCAGGAACAGAATTTGTGGATGATTACTATAGGGCACCCGTATCTCTGATACGGGGCCCTAATTACCATCCTAGCTAGAACAGCCGTACCTGTCTATAAAAAAACACTTCCTAGCTTGTTGATATTGAGTTAACCTATTTCTATATAGGCCACATTCGAATTAGTTGATGATAGTTCAACCTGTCCCTAAGGTTAAATATTAGCTATTTTTTATTGATATTCCAACCAGTCTAAAAGGTCCAAATCCTAGCTATATGTTGATATTGATACATTCTTAATCGTCTATGCAGGCTATTGAAGAGAATCTGAAGAGTGTCTTTAGAAACAGTTTCATGAAAATGGCCTGGTGAAACATGGTACTTACAGGAGCTGTAAGTTATGTCCCTGGTGACACATGGTACTTACAGGAGCGGTAAGTAATGTCCCTGGGCAACACATGGTACTTACAGGAGCTGTAAGTTATGTCCCTGGTGACACATGGTGCTTACAGGAGCTGTATGTTATGTCCCTGGTGACACATGGTAGTTACAGGAGCTGTAAGTTATGTCCCTGGTGAAACATGGTACTTACAGGAGCTGTAAGTTATGTCATGGGTGACATCTGGTACTTACAGGAGCTGTAAGTTATGTCCTGGGTGACACATGGTACTTACAGGAGCTGTAGGTTATGTCCCTGGTGACACTGGTACTTACAGGAGCTGTAAGTCATGTCCTTAAGTGACATAAGGTACTTACAGGAGCTGTAAGTTATGTCCCTGGTGACATATGGTATTTACAGGAGCTGGAAGTTATGTCCCTGGTAACAATTGGTACTTACAGGAGCTGTAAGTTATGTCCTGTGTGACACATGGTACTTACATGAGCTGTAAGTTATGTCCCTGGTGACACATGGTACTTACAGGAGCTGTACGCTATGTCCCTGGTGACACATGGTATTTACAGGAGCTGTAAGTTATGTCCAAGGTGACACATGGTACTTACAGGAGCTGTACGTTATGTCCCTGGTGACACATGGCACTTACAGGAGCTGTAAGTTATGTCCCTCGTGACACATGGTACTTACAGGAGCTGTAATTTATGTCCTGTGTGACACATGGTACTTACAGGAGCTGTAGGTTATGTCCCTGGTGACACTGGTACTTACAGGAGCTGTAAGTAATGTCCTTAAGTGACATGAGGTACTTACAGGAGCTGTAAGTTATGTCCCTGGTGACATATGGTACTTACAGGAGCTGTAAGTTATGTCCCTGGTGACACATGGTATTTACAGGAGCTGTAAGTTATGTCCTGTGTGACACATGGTACTTACAGGAGCTGTACGCTTTGTCCCTGGTGACACATGGTATTTACAGGAACTATAAGTTATGTCCCTGGTGACACATGGTACTTACAGGAGCTGTACGTTATGTCCCTTGTGACACATGGTATTTACAGGAGCTGTAAGTAATGTCCTTAAGTGACATGAGGTACTTACAGGAGCTGTAAGTTATGTCCCTGGTGACATATGGTACTTACAGGAGCTGTAAGTTATGTCACTGGTGACACATGGTACTTACAGGAGCTGTACGTTATGTCCCTGGTGACACATGGTACTTACAGGCATTGTATGTTATGTTTCTGGTGACACATGGTACTTACAGGAGTATAAGTTATGTCCCTGGTGACGCATGGTACTTAACGGAGCTGAAAGTTATGTCCTGTGTGACATATGGTACTTACAGGAACTGTAGGTTATGTCCTGTGTGACACATGGTATTTAAAGGAGCTGTAAGTTATGACCCTGGTGACACATGGTACTTACAGGAGCTGTAAGTTATGTCCCTGGTGACACATGGTACTTACAGGAGCTGTAAGTAATGTCCCTGGGTATTACATGGTACTTACAGGACATGTAAGTTATGTCCTGTGTGAAACATGGTACTTACAGGAGCTGTAAGTAATGTCCCTGGGTGACACATGGTACTTACAGGACATGTAAGTTATGTCCCTGGTGACACATGTTACTTACAGGAGCTGTAAGTTATGTCCTGTGTGACACATGTTACTTACAGGAGCTGTAAGTCATGTCCCTGGGTGACACATTGTACTTACAGGAGCTGTACGTTATGTCCCTGGTGACACATGGTACTTACAGGAGCTGTAAGTTATGTCCCTGGTGACACATGGTATTTACAGGAACTATAAGTTATGTCCCTGGTGACACATGGTATTTACAGGAGCTGTAAGTTATGTCCTGTGTGAAACATGGTACTTACCGGAGCTGTAAGTAATGTCCCTGGGTGACCCATTGTACTTACAGGAGCTGTAAGTTATGTCCCTGGTGACAAATGGTACTTGCAGAAGCTGTACGTTATGTCCCTGGTGACACATGGTTCTTACAGGAGCTGTACGTTATGTCCCTGGTGACACATGGCACTTACAGGAGCGGTAAGTTATGTCCTTAAGTACCTAAGGTACTTACAGGAGCTGTAAGTTATGTCGTGTGTGACACATGGTACTTACAGGAACTATAAGGTATGTCCTGTGTGACACATGGTACTTACAGGAGCTGTAAGTTATGTCCCTGGTGACACATGCTACTTACAGGAGCTGTAAGTTATGTCCCTGGTGACA